GCTAAGTACTAGCTATCCCCCGTAGTTATATTACAAACCCGTTTGAATCGACCTATCATCGTCTTTCCCCTCCATCATCGTAAATTTAAAAATTTACTTATAAAGCTACAATATATATTTTTAAAGTTTCTATAGTCTAAAAGATGCCGCGACCGAAAAATTCAAAAGCATACGTAGGATTGTCTGACCATTTATCGGAAAGTTGATAGACTGATTCTCATTATCCGCAGTATATTTAGGATAGATATCACATGATGAAAAAAAGTTTTTCTCATGTGAACATATAAATACATTGATCGTAATATCTAAATTGCTCCCTCTTTTAAATTTTTTTTTTATAAGTCCATCATCCGTTACCTCGTTTTAAATAAAGAGAAAAAGAATCATCATGTAAGTATTTACTTTTTTTTTAATCATTTATTTTTTTATAAAGAAAAAAAATTTGAATTTATTTATTATCTTAAAAAAAAGTGAGGACGTCTGATACCTGTAAAAAAAAAAAAAAAAAAAAAAAAATATCAATCAGAAAAAATTAGAAAATGCCACCCATGGTAGACGAAGACCGAGATGATGAAACGGAAAATGAAGTTGTAGAAGATCAACAAGAAGAAGAAATTCATGTTACTTCTGATACTGTTCCTTCTAAAGGTCAAATGGTAGGATATGATCGAAATTATTAGATCAAGATCTCTTAATTTTAATTTAATTTTTAATCTTTTTCCTTCAATAAAGACTGTCGAAGAAGCTCTTCAGGACGTTTTAAAGCGTGCTCTTGTTTTTGACGGTCTTGCCCGAGGATTGAGAGAATGCGCCAAGGCTCTTGACAGGTAAATTCGAAATCAAATTTTTTTTTTTTTTAAAAAAAATTTTCAACAAATCCTCTTTCATGTGACATAACAGGCGTCAAGCTTTCTTATGTGTCCTAGTTGAAACTTGTACAGAAAAAGAATATATTAAATTAGTCGAAGCATTATGTAGTGAACATAATATCCAATTAATAAAAGTAAGTGATGCAAAAAAATTAGGAGAATGGGCTGGATTATGTAAAATCGATAGAGAAGGTAACCCTCGTAAAGTAGTAGCTTGTTCTTGCGTAGTTGTCAAAGATTATGGTGAAGATTCTGAAGCTAGGAACGTACTTTTAGATTATTTTAAAACACGTTAAGACTGGTTCAGAATGAGTATCTTTGTATTTGACTATTAAATAAATTAAAAATGTTTGTTTGAATATATACAAGATAATCATTTTATATATTATTATTTATTCATTCTAAATTTTATTTACAAAATAAAAGAGAGGATCATATATATAAAATATACCCTCTCTTACTTTCTTCGTATCAATCAATTATATTATAATAATACTTATTTCATATATTTATACCCTACAAAAAAAATAAAATAATAATAATAAAAATCTTTATCAATATTATAAATAATAGTAGAAAAAAAAATTATATAATTTACCATTCTCATAATTAACCACGTTCATCTTTTCGAAAATGGTCGTTTCTTCGTTCGATTTTATTAGTTAGAAATAAATATTCAAACAAAATGTATTTCCGGTATTGTTGCAAACATATACCGGACAGTATGATCTTTTGATTCCCCATTGATCATCTGAAAGGAATCTTCATCTGATAAAAAAAAAATTGATTCTTTTAAAGACGTGTTCTAGCCGATTCAAAAAAAGAATATATATTATAAATTTCTTACTAGATTCCATAACCATGCTATTCATGATCACATCTTCCATTGATGCATCTCTTTCTTTAGCTTGCTGACTTATAGCTAATTTCAATTGCGTAAATTCTTCATTAGCAGGGTCATCGGGGTTTGATGATGATTCTAATATGAAGTGATCCAAAATGAGGCAACATATTTCTATAATAACATCAACAATGAATGATAATAAATATTTGATTTGCCCCGATAATAAAAACTATTCTGATTTATTTACCTTCAATATCGTCTATTCTAGCCAAAAATATCTTGTACCAAGGTATATTGTGAACTATGGACGGAAAATTTTCTCGATGTAATAATTTCGCAGCGAGAAAAATCGAAGCCGCTGCCATGGTGGCAGGCGGAAACCTAAGACATACCGTAGTTTTATAACTTGAACATTTTTTTTTTTTTTAGTCATTCACTACTATTAACCTTAAGAAAAATAAATATATATACAAATTTCTAATATATAAATTCATTTTACCATTCATTGACGATATTATATGCCTTAAGATATAAATATTTATCACCTGTATTCACAATATAAAGATTAAAAAAAATAAAAATAAAATAAAAATCAATAAGATTACCTTTTAATTTCTTTACGAATTTGACCAACAATTTATGAGGAAGTACGAATTGAAAATCGAAACATATTGTCTCGACTATCGCACGTTCATTTTGAATAATGCGACGCCTTTGATCTTCTAACACCTAATTAAAAAAAGTACCATAATTCAATCCCTCATTCAAATATAAATGAATTGCTGGATTTCCTTTTAAATGTACCTGACTCTCTGCATTGATTTCAGTTCCCTCAGGGTGTTTAACTTGATATGCTGCTACCAAAATGTCTTTGAGTTTTTTATAAGTTTCCTCAATTTTTGTAGAAACAAATAAACATGTAATACATAAATCCTATTTCAATGATATAATCATTAAACACCCAACCAAAATGAAAATAAAAGGAAACAAAAAAAAAAAAAAAAAAAATAAGCGATGTTACAGTTTTTTGCTTTGTAGATGCAAAGTCTTTTGTAGGATGAAATAAAAAGAATCTATTATAAAGTAATTGTGCTGTGCATATCGTGCTCTGTGGTCTTTAAATTATAGATAATCACGTGAGTCAAGTCCATCGAACTGGAAAGAAAAGGTTCAAGCAATTCCTTCCAAACTTAATATTCAACTTACAACCCAAGGTTATTTCCCACAGCCGCTATAAAAGCACACCATTGTGCTCTTGACATATCTTTTGATTCACCAGACCCTTGCTTTTCTGCACATTGAGCTACTTCAACCTTGGTAAAATATGCTTTAGCTCTACGCTCTATAACATTACATCGCTCTCCTATTACGTCTGGACTCGAATTAGCTGCAAAGTTAAATTGTCCGTTTGGGGTATTTATTAGCGGTGAAGACATTTTTTAAGAAAATGTCACTTTAAGGAATATCGTTTAAAAATCGAAAATTGGATCCAACACGTGACATATCTGACATATCAGTGATTACCGTTGGCCAATCATATCAAAGAATATTATGTTTGACTTTTTAATCTCAATATTATCTAAAGAATTTAAAAAATAAAAAAGATTTTTTTTAATGCAAATTGAATTCTTAATAAATTTAAAATACACTAAATTTA